TCTGCAAAAAGACCATCAACATTAACTGAAGAGTAAGTATCTGAAAGCTTCAGCACTTAATTGTTGGATTTGTATATATTATTGAATTGAGTCATAAATTGGTTATTGTCTTTGATAATCATAAAACATGTCTGGTAATATTTTTAACAACTTACAAATGCATATGTGCAGGGTGGTTAGGATACGGCGAATGCGGGAAGGAAACCACGAGGCAGTGCTTCTTGCCTTGTGCTCCAAAACATTCACATCTAAAGTGATTGTTTTCAGGTTTTCACTTATGCACTTTCAAATAGAAGCTTTTATTTGGGTTTCTGCAAGGGCATTCAAGTATATACATGTGCTTTAAGCAAGAGCTTTGATCTAAACTGTAAAAAATAGAGACATGAGAAACCTATTAATCTGAATAGTTAACAGATAATCAAAGATTTGCTTGCACAGGGATTTTGACATTAGTAGGAGTTTATGTATAAGCTATTTCTTTTGCATTAAGTATTTTAAATATTTTTATTTCTCATAGGACTAATTGAAATTTCAGAGTTTTTCCATTAATTTAGTTTTAGTTGATGTCTTTTAGGTATAACGGTTTGTATACTTTCAATTGTTTCATCTGGATGCAACTATGCAAGTACACAAAGTCCATTTGGTTTCATACTTAAACAATTTTATTTTCCATCACAGTGGAACAAAGCAGGCAGCCCATAGATTGAAGATTTTATTTGGTTTAGCTGGTTTTAAAGCTGCCGAGCTACATGGAAACCTTACGCAGGCTCAACGTCTGGGTGTATGTTCATGCTGGAAAACATTCTTCTCAACTTATGGTTATCATTTTGCTATCAGTACTTATTGGTGTGTTTTTTCATACTTTATGATGTCTATTCAGGCTCTGGAAATTTTCAGGAAACAGGAGGTGGATTTTCTGATTGCAACTAATGTTGCTGCTCGTGTAAGATTACTTTTATCCACCATCTACTCTTTTCTCTATACATGGCTATTAATTTATGAAGCTTTTCTACTTGTTCATTGTCCAAAATTTTTTGTTCAGTGATTCTTGTATTTTTATACGGGAAAGATACTAGCATCTGAATGGTGGATATATTCTGCTCATGATGTTGATGATCTGTTTCCTTTATTTTTTACTTTTTCTTTTTAGGGGCTTGACATTATTGGAGTTCAAACTGTTATAAATTTTGCATGTCCCCGAGATCTTACAAGGTAAGAAAAAACTATGCTTGCATATCATGATGCATCATATGGTTCTGGCTTAACAGTTCAAGTATTTGGAATTTATTTTCCCCATGGATATAGTTTATTTAGTTTTATTTCTATTAAATTGTTCTACATGTGGTCTTAATTGGTTTTCTAACTAGGCTTTGCTATACTGATGGGTATAAAATGGCTTTTGGCTTAATATACAAGGATTCAATTTATGACTCTTTTTGTTTTCTTGAATACACATTTCTTCATTGTGTATATCTCTTTCTAAGTAATGCATATGTACTTCTTCTAATACATTACTAGAACCTATTTAAGGATTCTATTTTCTATTTTTGGAGGTATTATTTATTTATTTAATCTCTCTATTAAGTAATGCATATGCACTTCTTATACTTCATTTATAAAACAAGATAACCCAAGAATGTTTGACATAATTCTTTTATTTATTATTATTACTTTTATTTTTTATATCACATTATCACATGGCCATGGCTTCCATACACTTCACTCTTGTAACCCTGAATTCTTTTCTTTATCTAGTTACGTTCATCAAGTGGGTCGTACAGCTAGAGCTGGTAGAGAAGGCTATGCTGTTACATTTGTCACTGATAATGATCGCTCACTTCTGAAAGCCATTGTGAGTAGCTGGCTTCCCTTCTAACAGAATTACACTTTTACACATCATGCCATTTATTACATGATGTTTGTTGATGACATCTTAGTTCCTTAATTCTTGATGATACATGGGGTGTCAGCAGTTGAGAGTCTTTAGAACCCAAACTTATAATTTTCCTTTAGAAATAGTTACAAATACACAGAGACTTACTATTGCTATAATGGACAGGTTAAACGAGCTGGTTCAAGGCTGAAGAGTCGAATTGTTGCTGAGCAATCAATAATCAAATGGGCTAAACTAATTGAGCAAATGGAGGACCAAGTTGCAGAAATCCTTCAAGAAGAGAGGTTCAAATGCTATATAATCTTGGAAACTTAACAATTTTGTACTGAATGTATGATTTCAAGTTTAATTGTTTTTTTTTTTTTTTTTTTTTTTTTTTTGGATTGTTGCAGGGAAGAAATGATTCTGAGGAAAGCTGAAATGGAAGTTACAAAGGTTTGGTCTTTGTACTTTTTGACTTTTTAATGCAGTGGGAACTAACCAGCTTCTGGTTGACATAGTTACACCTGAATAGTAACAAAGCAACAAAAGAAAGGATGTTTAACACTGAGCACAATGTGACCAACTATAGTTTCTTCTTATTAATGAATTTGCAGGCAGAAAATATGATTGCACACAAAGATGAGATTTATTCACGCCCTAAAAGAACATGGTTTATGACAGAAAAGGAGAAAAAGCTTGTGGCAAAGGCAGCTAAAGTGAGTATGCACTCCCTGTGAATACCTCATAATTAGCCTATGTATTTTATTTACCTTTATTGAAAACCACTTCCTTTCCCAGTAGACATGCTCATTACCTATCATCAACCAAGTAAATGCCAATGGCAATATGAGAATAGTTTCATGACTCATGTTCTATCACTTAATTTAATTCCTTATTTTAAATTTATATTACTAAATATGGGTGTAATTTTGAAAATTCTACCAGGGCTCTATGGAGAAAGGAAGGGATTCTGTAAACAAGGTAATCAGTGCTGAACAAGCAGAAGACCTCAAGATGAAGGAAAAGAGGAAGCGAGAGCGTGAGGTGCTTTATTGTCTGGGATTTATGTAATTTCACTATTGACTGTCTGCTCATCCTGCTAATTATTAATGATTATTATGCATGACAGAAAAATCTGCCTAGAAAGCAAAGGAGGAAGTTGGAGGCTTCCCGAGAACTATTAGAAGACGAAAATGGTTCAGATGAAGTATGCATATAACTCCTTTTTATTGTTTCACATAAGTTGATTGTGACACTTAATCTCGTATTAATGCTCGTTATATGGCATATATTTTGTTTGTGAATAAGTCACTGATAATCAAATGAACATGTTTGCTAGACAGTAGGCATTCAGCAGTAGTATACTAGAATTTAGTCAGAGTAGGTATTTGGTGGTAGTATAAAGTCAATTACTTCAGGCCTTCAGCTTATCCAAAGAATATATATATATATATATATATATATATATATATATATATATATATATATATATTTAGGAGAGAAGCAAGTGTTTGGGGATATGAATTGGAAATTGCTAGGAAATTGTGGAGAATGAATTAGGGGATACTTGTGTCTACCTTAAGCTCGGTTTATAAAAATGCCTCGGCACACAAGAACTCTTGTTGAAGTTTGACATTGAGCTTTCCTAACTCTTAGCACCCTGCACCATAATAGCAAAGCTATAATAATAAGCGGAATTTTGCAGAGAAATGAGAAAACAAAGAAAGACAAGACGGGAATTACCCTTGTTGATCTAGCTTATCGTCGGGCAAAATCAGTCAAGGCTGCAAAGAAGGCGGCTGATGCTGGCAAGATTATAAGAAAGGAAGGGAAAAAAACAAAACGACCTACCAAAGTAACTCAATCCAGGACAGAGGAGATGCGAGAACTTTTCAAATCTGATATGAGTGAGGAGAAAAAGAAGAGACCACATTCTGGTGGGGTAAAGAAGAAATCTTCATTCAAAAGCAAGTCAAGGTATGACAATATGTCTTTACCATTGTAAGTTTTATTTATTTATTTATTTATTGAGCATATGACCATTTATAAACTTTAGTTGACAATAGTTGGATTCCTAATTGGAATATTCCTCCTATCCTAAATTCCATATGATTATATTTTGTTCCAACATCACCATTATTTTATTTGTACATTCATAGAGCCTGGCTTAAAATTGTTAATCCTCGTTACTAGTTTTGATTGTATATCCAGATTGTGTAAAACAATTTATACGCATGGATGTGTGAAATCTTCCTCCACTTCTGTGATCTGTAAAACTTGTCTTTTCTAAAATGTTATTATTTGTAGGTACAAGAGAAGGTAAACAGCTTACAGCAAGACCTTGATAGGCCAGATACACAGTGACTTGCCTCGTGGTTGAAAGGATTGTCTAGTGAAAGGTTTAATTTATTATGATCATTTGACACCAGAAGACGGAGTTTCACTGACCCTGACTCTCAGAGTGGATACTCAAAAGTAACTGTTTCAAATGCAATAGAAGTTGGACCGCCTCTCCAGTCTGCTTCCTGGATTTCAAGAGCAATAGGATGTGTGTGTGTTTTTATTTTTAATAGGTCGACCTTGAATTAAGTCAATTAACACAATGATATGTTGTAAGTCTTGCAAATTCCAATGACATTTATACATTTACACACACATTGGGTTGTATCAGCCCTCAAATTTTGGTTATCTTTGGGCTCATCTCTACCATCAGAGTTTTTGTTTTTGTTGCTGCTGCCATTGAATGTGAGTCACTTAGTAATGCTAGTGTTGTAATTTGTAAAGCATAGTGTTCCTTAGAAGCATCATCCTTTGTGGAGGTTGCCAAGTAACTTTAGTTAATGGAATCATGACAAACTTCGGTGAATAAGAATAGCACAATATGGTGAGTTATTTGTGGGTACACCTCTCTGGTTCTCTCACTTAAGGTGTTGAATCACCACACCATCTATTTAATCGGATTGGGATGAACTTGGGGGCAAGAGATTGTCTTTTGTGGAGAATAGCACAAGAAATAACAGCAGTGACATTAGTAATGAGTAAAGCCATGATGGATGATCCATGAGTTTTATCAAAAAGGAAAGGTAAATTTGCATTATGTGATTCTCAACCACAAAAGAAAGAGTAACAGAAGATACACATCTAAATTTGATTGATGTAAATGAGTGATTACAACTACATGTAAGTTGTGTTTGCAACAGCTCTCTAGATTCCAAAGGAATAATTAAAAAAGAAAAAAAGAAAAAAAAGCACGTTTAACATTTTGAAACAATTTAACCTGGCATCTATACTTGTTCTCTGGGAATTAATCTCAAGAATCATATTACAGTCACAAATCCTGTCTTTATTCAGTTCTATAATCTTTCTTCCCCCCGCTACATCAATATAGGCTTTCCTATCTTCAATAATCTATGGCTATAAAGAACATTGGCCTGTCTGTCTGTCATAAATAGTCCTAAACTGATCCCAGTGAGAGGGAAACCAGCAAGGTCTATTTCCATGGTGGTTGATGATGGTTAAAAGGGTAAGGTTCCAAGCCACCATCTGGTTCTTTTCGTTTCCCACCAATACTCAAACTTGTCGATGGTTGTGAGTTGGGCTTAAGGTAACTGTCCATTGGCATTGGCATGGGCATGGGCATTGGCATTGCCATAGGCATAGGCATGGGCATTGGCTGAAGTGGGTTGAAAATTTGCCTCAAACCTCCCAAATCTCTGTTCCCAGCCTCGGATGTCAAGCCAGAGTTGAGATCGAAGCTGCTCCTTGATGCCATAACCCCATTTGTTGGAGGCGGTCCAGTCATGCTAATAATGAATGGTTGCTGAGAAAAGGGAGGAGGCACAGATGAGGGCGGACCGACAATTTGAGGTATAACAGGAACTCCTCTGAAATTGACCATGCAGGGGATAGGGCCACCGGGTCCATACATTGTAGATGAGAAAGGTGCAACAGGTCCTGGTGTAATGCCATTGTTGTAATTATAAGCACCTGAGTGAGCGTAAGAAAACAGAGATCCCATTCCCAAAGCAGTCCTATTAGCATCAAGAATGGCCTCTGAAATCCTTCCATTGGTCAGGGGCATGGACTGAGGAAGAAGCTCTTTTTGGTTTACCTCTACCTTCATGCCCATGATGGATACCACAGATGTCAAATTCTGAGGAGATTTGGTGAAATAAGGGAGACTTGAGGAATCATTAAGAAAACTGGGTTGGTCATTTAAATCAATGTTCAGTAATGAAGGCTGCTTTGATGATGAAGAAGATGATGGAGATTGACTTAGGGGGCCATTTTGACGTGAGGACAGCTGTCTATCCACCCTCCAATCTGATGGAGCTTCACCTTCGTCACTTACACGATTAAGATCCAACTCAACCCTTTCCAGTTTTTTGGAACTTGCTTCAACAGAAGATTCCCCAGAAGGAAGAGTTGATGACAAAGTTATTTGTTCTTTGATATTCAAATCCGTACATCTCTCATCTCCAGTTTCAGTAACATTTAGATCAATACCAAGGAAGCCAGCTTGCTGCTTTGAGCTGCCATCACTTTCAGCATTGGAAACGGCTTTGTCACTTCCAGGGATTCTACAAGCTGCTGGACGAAAAGCACTTGTGACAGCAGATCCTTTCCATCCAGTACTCCCCTCAAGCTGCAAACGAGTAATTGGCATGTCAGGAGCAACTACTGCCCTTGAAGGCTGATCCGTATCTTCTGAGTAAACATCTTGATTCAAATCAAATTCGCATAAACCCTTCTCAGAGTTGGCTTCAAGATCTTGAGCTGCCATTGTGACCTGAGAAGTATCCATGTCTTGTGTTTCATTTACTGCTGCACCATCAGAGTTTTCTGCACTCTTTAGATTTCTTTCCCCAATTTGTGAAGCTTCAACAGAAGGATGAATTCCTTCTTGCACCTCCTTATTTGAGCCATCATTAGTTTCACATTGTTTTGCATTTTCAGAATCTTGGCTATTGGGCTCATGAACTTTAACTGTTTTTTTCACAGAACTGCAACTCTGTTCAACTTCTCTCTCCACTTCGATGGCAACTTGCCGAGCAACCTCTAAAGGATCAAAGATGCCACAGTCCAAGTCAAGATCAGATTTCTTTCCAATATTGGCGTCTTTATTACCCATGTATAGAAAGGCAAGATCAGTTGTTGAATCATCCTCACTTTGATCACTAAGATCCTCATCAGCCTCCTTCACTCCAATATTTTCCACCTTCAACGAACTTGTGCCCACTTCTTTCATGCATTCCATGTTATGCTTGTTGGAAGAGACCTGCAATAGTTCACCATGACCTTTGGTGTTTTCATTAGCTTCGAGGACCATTGCACCTCTGCAATGATTTTCAGATCCACTTTCATCCATCACGTCCTTCATGTCAGACACAATTGCTGTTGCTTCATTGAAGGAGGATGTTTCCTGAATGCAGTCATTGTCCTTGGCATCAGAGCATCCTTGTAAACCAGGGCGTGTCACTGAATACACAGCATCCTTGGTTTCAGCACTTGGAGAGAGAATCATCTCATCTAATGGCTTAGACGGTTCTGAATCCAATTTCTCGGAACTTCTAGTTTTCTGCACACCATTCAAACCATCACCAGGCACCACATCAGGATTTTCATTCTGTTCTTGAAGTGTACTGTGTTTTGGACCTGTTGAACTACAAGTTTCAATTAGTGAAGTACCATCTGAATGAAACCTAGTGGTTTCTACCTCATCACTAGTGTCACTGATGTGCTTTGTCGAGGAAGGAGATGGCCCATCTTGCATTATTTCATGCTCCGTAGTTTTATCATGAACCATTTCAGGATGAGGAGCATCAGATCTCAACGATGGTACAAGATTTTCTTTTTCCTGTTCATTGCATCCTTTGGAATGACAAACATCTCCACCATATGAAGATTCTAACTGCGCATTTTCTCCTTTAAGATTCACACTGACTCCAGTCTCACCATCAACTGAAGCTGGTAGCTTTTCAACATCCATAGAAACAGGGGCAGCATCTGTACCTTTATCCCATCGATCAAAGAGTGCCTTAGCCATCTCTTGCACCTTTGAACTCTTGTGGCTAAGAAGCTTCTCAACGGATGTCCTGATTCCAGAAGAAACTGATTTCTCATTGCCTACATGCAGCTTCTCAACAGCTCTCAGTAAATCAGTGATTGACTCTTCTATGAAATTATCACTATTGTCATTACCAAGCTTCTGAGCATTCTTCAACCAACTATCAATAAATCCCAGTCCATCTAACTTGATAAAAAGTTCAAGGCAATCTTTGTTTTCAGTTGCAGCTATAGTACTTGCGACAGCAGACCACTGTCTAGTTGCATCAGCAATACTCCTATTGGCATCTTTTTCCTTTTGCATTACAGCAACAAGCTCCTGGACTCGAACAGGAGTTGCAAGCCCATTATTCATCTCAGTCAATGTAAAGAAGTCCTCAAGCGTCATAGTGTATCAATTTGTCACCAATTAAACCTCAAAAGTTAACCTGAAAAAGAATAGCAGGAATATTTTGGAATTCTTTTGCTATACTATAAGGCCAAGATATAAATATCAATGCGAAACATTGTGAACATGGAAAAAGAAAAACAAACAAAAATAGCTGTATCCTCAGAATGAGGAAAAAGAAACTTGAGTCTCATTTCTACCAAATGTCAAGTGTCATTTGATTGTTATGTGTACAAAAGTGTACGAATTATGCAGGTAAATGATCCATTCTAAAATATTTCATTTGTGTCATCCAAGCTAGCAACCACTGCTAAAACATTAATCAGCCAAGATGATAAGGTTCGCTGTTTACCCATGCATAAAACAAGGAATTGTGTATTACATGATGTGGATCCATATTCACTGTTTACCCGTGCATAAAGCAATCTAATTTCTTAATTAAGGTGCTATTCCTAATTTCCTTTACATGCAAGTTCAATGTTATAGAGTTCAGGTTGTTTCTTCTTCATTTCATCCAATTTCTCCACCCTTTAAACCTAACTTATAAAAAACATGAGCATAATTGCATCACATATTGCGACCAACATGATAAAAAAATGATTTACTAAATTCTATAAAACAAAGCACAATTAATATATCATGCACATCACTGCACTTGCAAAGCCAAAAGGTAAAGATATTGCCCAAACTCACTTTGCAAAAATACATTCGAACCCTAAAAGAATGCTTTGCTCTATAAGGAGATATAGGATTAAGAAATAAACCAATGAAATAATTTCAGCAACAATGGGAAGTGATTCTTTCATGAATTTGTTTGGTCCTTCTCAAGCCAAACATAAAATCACATTAACGGTTGGAATTCCATGCAGCAGATAGATTCAGAATCTAGTTTATTCATGATGATAAAAACAAAATCAGATGATGCAGAAACATAAAGCTTACTATGGGTGATAGTAGTGTTGCAAAAATCGGGCCTAGGCGCCGATTAATCGGCCCCTAGGCGGTCGACCACCTAGGCACCCGCCTAGGCGCTCTAGGCACCGATTAATCGCTCTAGGAGCCCGCCTAGGCGCTCTAGGCGCCTTAGGCACCTAGAGGGTGCCTAGCGATTTTTTCAACCTTGGCCGCGTGATAGTGTGATATTAATCTAAGGGTAATCCCATTGATTTAACAAGGCCGCAGAACTTTCAGTGCTTAACCAGGATGATTATGTCCTTCTTACTTGCTAAGGCCGTCTCCAACGAAGACGGCAAACGCCAAAATGGCGGAAGATTTGGCGCAAAATCTTCTCCAACGAGACGCCAAATCTTACGCCATTTTGGTGTAGAAGACTTAATTCCTTTTGGGCCCTTGGTCTTTTTTGTTAATTCCTTTGGTATCCCTATTTTATTTTAATGTATTTACATATATTGTTAAATACTTTAACATAAAAATTGAATAATTAAAAATAAATTATACCATTTGAAAGATCTCATCAAGACGATGAAAACAAGACTAATATTATATATATATATATATATATATATATATATATATATATATATATATATATATATATATATATATTAATTAAAACTAAAGTACATAAAACATAATTTTCACTTCGTAAAAGATATGCGCTTCGTAATGTGATTGAGCATTTGTGGGAACGATGATATGTTAATTTCGAAAATTAAATGTAATAGTTGTTATATGTGGAATAAAAATATTATTTGCATTACAATTAAATTTTATATTAAAAAAATTAAACTATTAATTTATTAGAAAACAAATTATTTTAATGTAGAAATAGAATTTGGTGTAATGGGTTGGAGATGGATAAAATTTGGTGTAAGAATATGTTGGGAATATTCCTCTTGGTGTAAAATTTGGTGCAGAATTTGGTGTTTTGGGTTGGAGATGGCCTAAGTTGCTATGGAAGAAATAAGGTGCATGTGTTAACCTCTTCTTGGTCTTGTAACTTTGTTCTTTTGTAGCTTGTCAGAGAAGATAAAAGTAATCCTAGAAACTCTCCTAGTTGCACAGGTTATCCCCATAGTTTATATACTATATGGAAATTCCTATCGTGTAGTCAAGTGCAGTGTCTTCAATTAATGCATTTAAGTACCAAAACATGCAAAATAACCATCTTCTTCAACAAAAAGTACTGTTGTACTGCCCAACACACAACAACATAGGAGTAACTAGCTGGGAAGTTGCATATCATACCATCTCCAAATGCCCTCTTGATCAAGTCAAGAGACTTGTACAAAATAAGCCAAACCGCAATTACCCAATCAGCAGATATGCCCAGCCCTGAGAAAAATGAAGAACAATTACATTGAAAAGGGTACATAATTAATTCCCAGCTAGTGGAAAGGAGTAAAAATTTAAAACAAGACTCCAAACATGAGCATAACAATTCTCAAGCATATCCAAATTAGTAAGTTCAACATAATCAAATCAATCTACAGATTTTTCATACATAAAAATGGAAAGAAAAGATATAATTAAACAAATGACCATAAAAGAAACCCAGAAAAAACCTTAAGAGAGAAAAAAAAAAAAATCAATTTTTGTATAGAAGAGCAGTCAAACCTCAAATGATAATAACCCTAGATGAGAATTTCATTAGCCCAAAGCGCGAAGCAGCGTAAAGACTATACCTTTACACAATCGACTATGAGCAGACAGCGGTAATCATATAATCGCAATTAATGCAGCACGATAATCAATTCATAACCGTAAATCCGGATACATAGAAGCAAGTATGAACAGCCGAAAATTTTCAAACAAATTGCAAGAATTAAAAGCTCAAAAGTAATACAGCAAAAGCTTTACCTCTTTCGGATATGGAAAACCCTAGCCGGAGCTCCACTTCAATAACCCGGAATTACGGTTTTCTATTCCTGTAGCCCAGTTTCCAGCGAATTCAATAACCTTCCGTATTGAGCTCCTTTTTCCCCAATATTGTTCTTCGTTTTCACTTTTCAGAAAAAAACTCGTTCGAGCAGAGAGAGAGAGAGCCACGTTTTTTCTTCTCCTCCTCCTTCTTCCTTCTCCCAGCCCCGATTTTTTTCCCTAATTTTTTTTTTTTTAATTTTTTTACAATTTTAGTTTTTTAATTATCCAATTTGATTTTTTACGAAATCTTTTATTTCGTTTCTTCGCAGTTAGCTCGCTGGTCTGCTTTAGCCAGCAAATCGGGTGGGTAACACGTGCCACACGTGTCCGAGTCGGGAGCAAGGTCGCAAATTGGGCAACCGGGTCGGGCCGGGTGCCAACAGGTTTTGACCAATGGTGTTGTGGTTTCGGGAATGATTTTTTTTTTTTTTTTTTTAAATTTTAAAATTGTGAGGGGACAGAAGTTGCATAAATAAAGTGTCACAATCCGAGTTTGGGTTTGAAGATGTCCGGGTGTGGGGCCCGCAAATGTTGAGTGGGCTTTTTTGATAGTTAAAGAAAAGGGGAAGGTGATGAGGTTAGTCCCTACTCCCTAGTCTTCCCCTGAAAATGAGAGCAGCTCAGCTCAGCTCAGCTCGTCCATGTCGCTGGCTTGCGGCGGGGCCCCACCGCCGTCACGTGACGGGCACGTGACCTGAAACTATGTGGAGCTATTTTTTTTTATTTTTTTTATTTTTTTGGATGATAATATTCATCATAAAAATTTGTTACTTTCAATTTATTGACCATGGTTGGACCATTGGTCCCAACTCCATGCTACATTAGTTCTTTAGTATAAATTGCTGTCATTGTAAATTACAATTTGCAAAGGGTGGGAAAAATCTATTTGTAATATTTTACATATTTATCAGAAGCAAAATAGAGCGAGTTGCAAACATGGGCGTTGCCTGAGGAGGGTGTGTTTGTAGCGTAGCTAATTGTGTTTGTTTGAGCGTTGCCCGAGGAGGGTGTGTTTGTAGCGTATCTAATTGTGTTTGTCTAAACGTTCCCTTTGCATTTTGATTCAAAAAATAAATAAAATACGGAGTATTGTTTAAGGTATAAACTCGTTACAAATTTTCAATTTTTGGGTTGGAGTCAGGTTGTGTGGGCTATTCTTGTTGAGGAAAATGGGCTGAAAGTAGTATTGGGCTCCAAAACCAACTACTGAAATGGCAGACCAAGAGATCAATGGGATGGATATAGACTTATGATCTGCAAATTTTACCATGAAAATCCCCCCAAAAGTTATTTAGTGTAGCCTGCACATTTTAAGAGAAATTCTTTAACAAATAATCTTAGAATTCACTTCCCTATTGATGAAGCAAAACATTTGTACCTGTCATGTATGAGTTAAGAATGTAAGATACATTCAAAGTGATTCCTATGGGAGACAAAGAGAAGCTGTGTGTGTATACTCACAAAAAGAGGTTAATAGAAACCTAGGAACATGTTCCTTTGACAGCAGAAACATACAAGTTGAATAGACATTTTTGTATCAAGAAAATTCATGCACAAAACTTGACTGGTAATCAATCTTGCACTACCCTCATCAAGATGAAGTTCTCCATTGTAGCTCAACCTGAAGCCTCCCATTCTTGGAGTCAATAAGGTGGTATCTCTCATTAGTTCTCTTGTTGTTCACCACATCCACTAAAGGTATGTCCACATATCCCAGAGATTCCTAAAAAAAACATAAATAACTAAATGTGAGTGAAATAGACAAGAAAGGAAATGATAGAACCATTCTTGAGCAATGAAACAAACTCAAGGCATGAAATCGGGACACAAGAATCGATTTATGTGTATTACTGAAGTCGGGTGAAGAAAACAAAACCAAATGAATGTTTTGGGCACGACTAGGAGGGGCGGGAGAAACAAATACCTTTGGATGCCTCAGACCCATTCTCGATGAGGTACTCACAACTTCGACATGCATCTTATCATTCGTAGGTGGCCTGTCCAACATGAACTGGAACTCCTCATCCCATCTAGGATCTCTGTTTTTCTTAATAACCTGGAACACCAAAATATAAGCTATTAGCCAATTTCAGCTGCCTGGAGGTTTTGGTTGAGTCGGTTAAAGTTGCATCCCTTAGACCCATTGTGGTTTACATAAGCTAGATTTCGCAATTAAACCAGGCAGAATATACCTTGGTTCTTTTCTCTTCTCCTCTGAAGATCAAGCGCACCGATGGATTTGTATGGTGCTTCCCTTCCAGGTCCTGTGCTTCGTGGACAACGACTACAAATAAGCCACCACCTTCGGGCGTTCCTTCAGGAGCTGTCTGTACTTCTTTTGATGACTCCTCAACATAGGATGGCATTTGGTCATCTGAAAAAGCTTTGTACATCACTTCAAGAACTAGCTGCCCGCGTGATTTTTCATTTTGACGGTCATCTGGATCAAGGTTTTTCAGAAGATCAAGCATCAAAAGCTTAGGTTCTTCAGGAGTAAGGTCTTTCAAATGGACTATATTTATGCCCATCTTGTCATGTGAACCAACCTGTAAAATGCCCACATGTTCGAGATATACTAAGAATTGGCTTTTCATCACATGGAGGGTAGGCAATATGTCATGTTATTCATGTACTCCTACTCCATATCCGCTTGGTAAACTGTAAACTAGATCGCTAATTAAAAGACCATACCTGCTCCCAGTCAAAGACAGAAATATCTAAAGATTGAGATTGCGGGTCCTTAACAACAAGAGTGAATTCCTCATTCCACTCGGGGTTCAAGTTTTTGTGCTTTACAGTTGTTTTCTTTGATGGGAGTTTGTCCCCCGTAAGTTTTAGTTTGACATAAGGGTCTGAAGCCCCCAAAAGATCTTTCTTCTTAAGTTTCATTGCCTTCACGACTTTCACGTGAAGAATTCCAATAGGCCTCTGCATTGCTCTATCAAACAGCAGAGGAAGATTACTTCACTTGAAGTGGGAAAAACAGATCCGAGTAAAGATATTGTTCACAACAAAACATGAACTCACTGTGCAGGATCCATTATTTGGACCTCGAGTGTTTTTGGCCACAGATACATGTTAGCAACCTGTTCTTTAATAATATCCTGGAATAAAAGATCCGATAAGCAGAAAAATAATTTATAGGCCAATTCTTTCCTGTTTAAAATAATTTATAAAGAAAAGGAAGATTTAGTTAAATAAAACAACACATATCTATTCTCACCAACGAAATGAAGTTTACAAGCCATAAGGAAAAGAAAAACACAAACTACTTCCCACAGAAACCAAGTTACATGTAAGAATTCCTTTTACAAGAAAATGCATTTTGGTTGGATCAATGCAGTATGAGACAATTTTGCAATTTCAAATTTTAAATGTGTCACTTCTTGTAATCCAGTAGAAAGGATAAAAATTATATAAAGAGATGAAGGCAATTAGGCAAAGCAAGTATCCAGAAGCATACCTGAACAAATAAGTAAAGGCCGGGAATAGACATAAGATCAGCTCCTAGCAATTTTAGCCCAAAGTCAACGTGAGGCTGAAAGTAGAATCGGGCAGATGTTGCTTGAGAGATGAAAAATATTTTACCATGGAGATAAAAGGAGTTGCTATCAAACTTCACAAAGCTCTAAAGTTGATCTTTTGGCTAGTTTTTGGAGTAGTTCATATAAGAGTATAAAATTTTCTTCTCTCATCGAGGCCATTCATTAAAAGAGGTGCATATGTGAATAACACATTGAACCTCCAAACTATTATAGAACTGTTTGACTTCCTTATAAAATATATTACTGATAATGATATTTATGTATCAACGCTCACCTTCTCCATGAGAGATACGAGTATTTTTGCAAAACAGGGAAAGCTTGGAACCAGTGGCTTCAGTGTAATACGTGGCAAAGCAAACACTTGCAGATCAAGCACCTGAAATATTCCAAAAGTTTCAAATATTTATAAACATAATCTGTCAAGTTCCAGTCATCCTAACTTAAATAAACATATAATCAGCACACATACATGAATGAATAAAGTTGCTGGTTTTGTCAATAATTGGCCAGTAAGGATTTATTTGGGTTTGGAACTAAGGGATCTGGAAAAATCTGGATTTCATAACGGTAAATATGAATCTTGACCATATTCCACAAGTTCCTTATAACTGGCCAAATACCTGAGCAGTGGCTTTCAGCCCAAATGCTTTGACCGCAACAAGGATGTTGGGATTAGCTGCCCACTTTAAGGATAGTTCCATTATCAATTCCTTATCATCAGTAGAATAGACCTTCATTCCTGTACAAGAAAAAATTATGTATTGTTGTTCAGAAAGGTTAATCTGAAAACTTAAATTTCTTTTTGATAGACAACAAATAGAACTTAAAATTTTCTTTTGAGAAGGATGTGGAGAGAAAAGTGGAGGCCTGATGCAAAGAGAAATATTGACAGTAACAGATTTTTTATTTTTATTTTTTAAATGCAAGTGTAGAAATACAAAGAACCACAAAAGAAACAGGAGACATTAAAACTGTGCAATGGTTTGTGACCTTTTCTATGGTTCATTTTGCGAGATAAGGAGTATATAAATTAAGACTAGGCAAAGTATGATATATGAACTTGATTTTTTTAAAAAAATAATAATAATAAGGAAGAAGATTATATTAACAAAGTTTATATTAAATGGCCACCATGATGTTTCACTTGATTTTCATGCATTATACCTTTTTGCTTATTACGTCACACATATTAAACTAGATATATAGGAGCTGGATACATCTGAAGTGGAAAATGAAGAAATGTTGTAATGCTCAATTTAGGCTCTTTGAGAATAGCATAGATGATTACAATGTGAAGAACACAACTTTAAAAACATATGAACTTAAGAAATGCCAAAATGATGGGTGTAGAATTGCAAATTGATGGTGGCATATGTATACAGAGATCATGCTCTCAGTTTCCATTATAGGAATTATTCACAAATATCAATCATCTAGGTTTAATTATATGATGACTCAAAAGTAGAACACGCAGCTTACCAAAACAATCTCTCAAGATTTAGTTGGTAGAAGAATACACAAGTTGACAAGCAAATAATTCGTTAAGGTGCCTAGTGCAAGTCCAATTTGTGTATTCTGTGATTTAAAACTAAAAGAAGCAGCTCAACCTTGAAAAGTAGGTGGCAGGCTGCCCAGTGTAAGTTCTTCAAATTCAATTGCATCAATTTTGAACTTCGGAATTTGCTCGGCTATTATAGGATCTGCTATTTGCTTTACTGTCTTGCATATTGCCTGGTGACTTTACCCATCAACACTCAATCTGATTAAAGAAGCAAGTTTGGTGGGAGTTCACAGGTAAAACATACCTTGTCCAAGTAAGGCCACATGGTTTCAATAAATCTGTTAAGCCAATCGAGCTGCATTATTCCAGTTAGAAGAACAAAGCCATTAAAATATGTTACAGGAGAAGTGAATCTACACTAAATTATTTTATCATGAGCAAAGTATGAGTGGGGTTGATTTGTGTCATACACGATCAAAATCTGGATTTTTCACCCAAAGCGGTATCTCTGGGAGCAGTCTTTGAAGACCCTCATACTCTTGTTCTGCCATGGGACGTATATCAGGGTCCTGAAGACAGTGACATCCAAACCAGACGTAAAATTCATGCGAATAGGCTATACATTTAAGACTAGTTTTACAAACATCCAATGCCATAACTAACTCATAACTGGTAGAGAGTTAACATAAGGTGACTTAACTTGAATCACTTCAACAAGACACTTTACATGTCAAACTGCATAGCTATCTTATTTCAAGAGGTAACATCATTTTTAAACAGGAAATGAAACGAAAAATATACTAAAGTCCAAGGAAAATCCCAGGAACTTTGATTTTTTGCTGGTGATGTAGGCATGGATATAGAAGGAAAATTAGCTTTACAAGGCAAAATTCACAGATACTTGCCCAGTATGGCGTTCTCCACCTAGCACAAGTATGCCATGTACTATCAACATAAGAATATGTTAAAAGTGGATAAGATTTAACAAGAATATCCTCTAGATTTCATTTACATTCTCAGCAAGCAAAAAATGTAATTATAAAAATAGAACTAAAATTGCTTCCATGCTTTGTTTTTGTCCAGGAATGAACGAATTATAATTATAACAAAAACATAGGCATTTTGGTATAACAAGAAATCCTTATCCTTATCTACTATAAAAACAAAAGTAAACAAGCATGCAAAATGGGGAGAATACGATTTTTTTTTATTAAAAAAAAAAAAAAAAAAAAAAATCTAACCTTGACATCGGAAGATTGGACGTAGATGAACATGAAGTAGCCAGCCAGAATCCCAATTGTGATCCCAAACCCAAAACCAAAAAAACCCATTATAGTGCTTATGATACCCATCTCAGACCTTCCTCCAAATCAAACCGGATCTCCACTACAATTCTCAGGAAAACTTTCAAAAAACAAAACCTTTAAGCACCAAAAATTCAAACAAATAGCACTGAAGAAAACATATCAAACGTTAATTACTAGCTCTCAATAATCATGAAAAGAGCAACAGAAAGGGAGAATACCAGGCAGAGGCAACCGCGATAGCTGGATTCAAGATGTTACAATGCCGATTTCAGCAGCATTGCAAGACGGCGAAAAGAAGAAGAAATTTAATGCTCGGCGACGATTCATTGCACAAAATCTGAAACCCACATGTAACGGCTTAGGAAAGAAGCGTTCAAGCGATTGTAGTGCACTAAAGCCAGAGGGGATTCACCCAGTCTCATACCCGTCGCTAACGGTTCTGTCTGCCTTTTTCCGCGCTAAAATTACAAGGGTACCGCCAAGGAAACAGACTAACTAAAATGATCGTTTTTTAGTTACCCAAAAGAAATTTGCATTTATTAACTTCTTATAATTATTTATTATTCATGATTTAATTAATCTTATTCCAAAAAGTTGAATCTCAAGAACCTTTTACATCCCGACTTGAAAGAACATGTAAGAAGATATAAATTACAACAACTCAGTGGCTCAAATATAAATTATGGTAATTCAGTGGCTCAGTTGTCAAAATTTAAATTTTGGTATTTTTTTTTCAAATATTGTCTACTAGACCAGTGAACTAAACTCGTGCAAACATGATTTAATTAATCTCATCATAGGATTATACCGTGCATCAATACTGATAGAATCAGGTACAATTAGGGACGCAACCAAGTGGATCAAACAAATGGAGAGTTGAAGTTATGTATTGACCTTCTTGATTTAAGCCGATTAGCTATAGATAACCTAAGTTGATTTACCAAAGAATTAGGTACAATTATGTATCTAAAATAAAAACATAATAAGTCTCAATCAAAGTTATATCCTTCATTTATGTCCATGTTTTTAATGCTAATCATTGTGTACATTGCGCTTTTAGAGTTGTACTATATAATTTTTTTTGGACAAAATACACCTACCGTTATAACTCCCGTTATCTTTTCCATTATTATTACCATTCACATGCATCCACCACATATTTTCTTATATTCTTTAATGATAATAATATTTGTAGACATTATATATTGATTTTTGGGAAAATGGCACTTTTCCCCCCTGAATTATATGTTTATAGCATATTTTCCCCTTAAATTATTCAAGTGGCTATTTTTTCCCCTAAAATGTTAAATAGACATATTTACCCTTAAAATAAATATTTCATTTATTTTTCTTCTCCAACAAATTATGAACACAATTTGGTTCAAACCAAACAGACACTATAGCAACCAAACCGAAATATTCTAATTACAATTTAGAATCGAAACCCGATATTTAGAGTTTATTAAAATCGCGAACCGGGACGGCTGGTTCATGGTCGGAACTGAAAAAAATAAAATACATTTATTATTGAATTTGGACTATTTTAAAATAAAAAATAAAATTTTAAAATAAAGACGGTTCAAAATCGCGAACCGGATCCGGAATCGCCGGTTCACGATTCAGGATCCAGTTTTTTAGATTCATAATTTTAATAAACTGAAATCCAAATATTGGATGCTGTATATGAATCATAACCGGAAAATTTTAATTCTATTGCTATAGTGTCTGGTTCAATTCGAATCGAACCGTGGTCATCCCTATGTATAAGCAATAATTTGTTGGAGAAGAAAAATAAATAAAATGTTTATTTTAAGAGTAGAAATGTCAATTTAATATATCAAGGGAAAAAATATCACTTTTAAAATAATTGAAGGGGCTAATGTGCTTACATGAATAATTCAGGGGGAAAAAATGTTATAAGTATATAACTCAGGGGAAAAAAGTGTCATTTTCTCTTGATTTTTTAAGAAGATATATTGGATTATTATAATAAATAAATTTGATTTTATATAGATTTTAATTAGTAGGAATTTGTTAGCTATTTTAAAAAATATAAATATTGGACATATGTTTTTGCGCATCGCTGCATAGAAAAAACTAGTAACATATATAATTGAAAAAAATGGTCAAATAGGCCCATGTACTAACATTGATTATTAGTTATTGGAAACAGGCTAAAAATGCTAGATGGAAAATAATTGAAAGTATAATAGTCAGATGGACAATATTTTAATTCATGATGTTAGTACATTGGCCTATTTGACCCTTGTGTCTATATAATTATATTGAGTACTATCAATACAAATGTTGATAGTAGTAAATGCAATACAAAATAGTATATATATGATTCTACTTGTTAGAGCATCTCCAAGGGGCACTAAATCGGCAAAAATCAACACCATCCCATCATTTTTTAGAGCTCCAACCGGCACTTCTTTACGACAAACGCCAAATATTTTGGCGTTGATGAATAGTAACATCACTGTTCATCCACGGCAAATGTGAAAGGAGACATAAATTGACGTAAGGTTGAACCATTGTATGCAATATTTAAAAATGTGGCTCATTAAAAAGAACCATTGTATGCAATTTTTACATATATTGTTTAAGGTTGAATGAACCACATATAATGTAAATTATATGCAATGACTTTCCGTGCAAATGATTGTATACAAATTTATTAAGGTTATGAGTTATGTATGCAAATTATATTTAATGATTCTATATACCAAATTTATTTACATATAATCAGTTATAAGCTATGTATACAAATTTAACACATTATTTTTCGTGCAATTAAGATTGGAGGTTGAATCAATGACTTTATTTGATAAGCTTTTTATATATATACATGTACCTAATTTAAGGTATTCACTTAAATATGATTTAATTTTGTTAAGTATTGTAATCTTACCTTGATTGATTTCAAATTTCAAACTAATTTTTTGTGTGTCTAAAATGGGCGAGAAAATGACACTTTTTAATATATATATATATATATATATATATATATATATATATATATATATATATATAAATTGGCACCATCTTTTTTTAATGAATATTAATTTTGCTTCTTCAATTACGTGAGAATGGTTATTTTTAATTGTTTCAACAATTTTAGATCTCGAGTTTCATCTGAAGTGGGCAATTTTGTCCCCAGTCTTAAAAAAGTCGTTAAGAATTAATGGTAGGGAAAAGTTCAATTTTGGTCATATGATTATAGCAGTTTTATTAATTTCAACACTTGACTTTTAAAAGTATCAATTTAGTACCTTTACTATACAATTTTTATCAATTTTGGTTATTCTGGTCAAATTGTCGGTCAAATTGCGTCGAAAAAATTAACAGTTAAAATAATGAGGGTATTTTAGTTATTTCACATCTCTTCAATCATTTTCCCCATTATTTTAACTGTCAAAATTTTCCGACAAAATTTGGCCGACAATTTGACCGGAGTGACCAAAATTGATAAAAATTATATAGTCAAGGTACTAAATTGACACTTTTAAAAATCAGGTACTGAAATTAACAAAGCTCCTATAATCATATGACCAAAATTGAAATTTTCTCATTAATGTTAGGAAGTACAACTCTAAATTTGGAGGGTTTAAATTGTAAGCTAATACGGATCGGAGTACAATTTGTTCTTTCTAATCTAAAAAAAATTATGTTGCATAACTTGCATTGATAAATCCTGTTTTGACGTAATATTTTACAAATCACACAAGTCAAGTAAATCGCACTCGAAAATTCTGTGTGACGGGCCAGATCGAGAAGGAAGTTATAAGAATCAAATTCGTGACTTTTAAGTTCGAAAATCATGTTCCACCCACTAGGTCACCCATTTAAGGACTCTTAAGATAGGTGAAAATGAAATTTCCCGTCACAATCTCAATTGGTAAACTTCTAGATTTATCTCGATGAAAGTAATTATTTATACATAACCTAGGGATTAAAATACTAGTTTTTGAATTAATTATTAATGGTGGGAGATAATTCATGGTTAAGCGGCATGTGTGCATGCATGATGACAATTAAGAAATTCACCAGTTGCTAAATAAGGGAAATTTCTATTGAGTGATGGACCCCTCCCATCTTACCATTATAAAATGTAGAACACAATATAATTCTTTAAGGAACCGACCATTTATTTTGTTGTATATTCATATATATATGCATGGACCACAAAATTATATTCTTGCAGTTTTATTGGTTATATATTAATGCACGCATATTGCATTATTATAATTATATCCCATGTGAGACCAATTACTTTAATGGTGATGGGAAGATTTCAAAGTTTATAACCCTTCCAAGGAACTATATGTTTTAATTTATTCAAGGGAGGCATGAATTTAGTCTTATTATACACACTGATGATATGTATAAGTATTTTAAGGGTCTGTAAATCATTTAATGCATATATATCATAGAATTTACCTTATCTCTGACTTTTCAAGATAGGAACGGTGAATGGCATTAAATTTAAGATAAGCAAATTGTTAATGCAATGTACCTAGGTGGTCCTCAGGCGCTTAGCGATTTTTTCAACATTGATAAACATATAACTTAAGGGGAAAAAATACAATTTTTTCTATAATTAATATTAATATAGAGTATACATATCAGACTCTCTTGAAATAACTATTCTTATTGTAAAAGACGAATAAATCATTCTAAATAATGACATTTTTGGAACAAAAAACTAAACAGAGCAGCGAAATAAACTCATTTTAAATAATCAAATTTCATTCTTTAAACTAAATGTCTATTTTGTGTGTATTTCTGGCACGTAATTAATTAAAATTTGAGTTAAATTAAAGTTGAGGAAAAATATAATTAAGGAAAAAGACCAAATAAAACCATGCATATAAGTTCCTATATGCACACATAAGAGGAAAACCGAAAAGAAAGATTAGGGTATGGTGGAGTACAATAGAAGAGGGCGGTGCCCAATTCCAGTGGGCACAACCACTCTTTTACGTCATATATATGAATAAGCTAAGATACCTACTTCATAATCCACCACACACTATACCACTAGCTAGTAGCTACCTACCTATATGCCTCGACGCATTTTCCCAAATGCTATGTCAGGCCAGAATAGCAGAATCTTTGAGGTTGAGATTTTAATTTTTTTTAAAAATAGTAATATATATATATATATATATATATATATATATATATATATATATATATATATATATATATATATGCTTCACATTAATCCATCTATTTGGCTCTATCTTAATTATAGATGCCTGGAATGGTCAAAGTTAGAGTGTGTTTGGTTGGTGGGTTTTGCCCAGAGGAATGAGTATGAAAGTGATTGTTGTTGTTTGGTTGATAGGTTTTTAGAACACTACTATGGGTTTCGGATACCCCATCAATTGAAAAACTCATACCCAAATACAATAAGGGTTTCATTCCCTTATTCATTTTCAAGCACTACTATTAGTAACCATTCTCATTCCACTCTACTACCAAACATGTTAAATACTTTTATCAAAACCCATTACCATTACCAAGTATTTGATACTCATTCTGATTCTGATTCCTATGTGCGAACCAAACACACCCTTAGTCATTTTATATTCGTGATCATGATTTACCAGGTTTATAAGTTTTATGATGAGTCGTTATCTAATAACATATATAATGCATAATTTAATAGTATGTTCTCTCTATTAGGACAATTTCAATTGAATCAGTTGAGAATTTAATTTTATAATTACAAGGCTCCAAGTTTAATTTATCATAAAAATTATTTATTAATCTAGCTTCTTGGTTTAAGCTGGTCAACTATAGGTAAAACGAATTTCACCTAGAGTATACTTTCAGGTAACGGATGTAAATTTTTTCATAAATTAAAATATTTTACTCTCTACTATATATATGTGGGGTGGTGTGCCCACCTATTCTCATTTCCTCCGCTCCTTTGACTGATTGTTCTTGTTGCGTTAACTTACTGGGAAGATTGATGTGATCGCCAACTCATTAAAAAAATTCTCTTTTTTTCTATATGGCCGGACAAAAATTAAAGGAAAAAAAAAAAAAAAACGAACTCAAGGATACAGATTTACAACCTAGAACAAATCATGTTCAAGTAAGGTTGTAAACAACTACAGTAGCTCTAAGGCCGAAAGTCTGTGGGCTTAAAATTAGCCTGATAAAATTGAGATCATTTGAGTTTTTTTATTTTTAATTTTTTAAATGAGGCTAATGATGTTCGTTGCTCTTAGCCAATAAGAGTGGAGGGATTGATTTTCAACAATTTATTCTGGCGGAAGTTTCTTCATGCATATATCTATTGAATCAAATTATTTTTCCAATTCAAACATCAATTCTTTTTCCTCAAATCTCAATGTGCATGGCAAATTTGTCACCGCCATCAATTGTTTTCTTACGTAGTACACACTCATTAGATCTTGATTCTACGTCGTATGGACCGGGCTTCACGTGACGACGTTGATATGAATATATGATGTCTACTATCATATCTTTTGCTTGACAACCAAAACTTTGTCCGAAATTCTTAAAAATAAAATTGGAAAAAAAAACCAAAACAAATAAATTTTAGGACGCTACTGACTCTATTACATTGTAATATCTGTTCGAACATACACTCTCAACCTAAGAGTCAACAACACCTCCACTAAGGCTCGATCTCATGACCTCCCACATGGGAGAGGTCACTACATGCCATTAAGCACAAGGTGTTTGGCAAAAAATCAATCAGGCTAAATGTGCCAATTTACACGAGAATACAACTATTTTTTTTTTTAATTATGCCCAAATACTATGAGAATTTGTACCATGTACAAAATTAAAAAATAAAAAATTAAAGTTATATTACAGAATACATACTGTGAAAACTACACCATGTACAATTAAAAAAGTTCTTAGAGCAACTCCAGTGGTAAAACCTAAATATGAGTTTTTTGTTTGGTTCTAATTAATGGCCACGCAAAAAAAATACAAATAAAATAAAAAAGTTATGGTGGCCGCCAGGTAATTGGCACCCACCCTAATACGCCCGCGGGGTTGCAAGTGTGCAAATAACTTTACTGAGATCTTTTTTTTTTTTTTTTAATCTCGAAATCTATAAATAAAAACTCACATTTGCAAAGATATTGAGTTTTTCTTTAACATACTTTCTCTTATCCACATAAATTTACTTTGTAAAATGTAAAATTTCTCGTCCCAAAGGACCTCAATACCGTGATCCGGCATGCATACATTATTGTAGATATATAAATAAATTACAGTGACTAAACAGCTCATTAAATAAGAGAATCAGTGCGTGCCTGGGTGCAAGTTTGTTTGCCGGGTTGCTCTTAGGGTTGTATGCGAGGACACTTAATTGCCTCATGTTTACATAATACCCAATATAATATAATGAGTTATGTATGTTTTTTATTGTGCTGGATATATATATATATATATATATATATATATATATATATATATATATATATATATATATATATATATATATATATAAATCAAAACAGTGACAATAGACACTTAGAATTTTGTGGAACATTGGTTGCATGCCGTAGATGAGTGGGAAACAGTACAGTGTATTCTCTAAGCTAAGCTACTTTCGGTGGTTTGGTTGTTTCATAGACTTTAGTACTTTACCTCCACCACACAGTAGTGGTCGTCGCTGATGGAGAGTTATGGCCTGGATAGATAGATAGATGCATGGGATTATAAAGAAAGAATAAGCAAATTAAATTAAAGATGATATGATATATGGTAGGGCACTGTTACTTTTATTTTGGTCACACCTAAATCTCTGCCTAACCAACGCAACGTAACACACAAATCTAATCTTACTTTTATGCATATATGTCTATTATGGCAGGATAATCATCATCTCATTAATTAAATTAAAGGACCTTAATTAGCTAGCTTAGCTTTTTGCTTGCATCTACACGCAATTCTTTTGCATGTGCTGGCAACACCTCAGTTTGGCCTGGGATCCAACTTCTATCTCTTCATGTCATTCAATTCCCTTAGTATAGGTACAATTTTTTCTTTAAATTAATTATAAAAAACTATTTTATTTTTTTAGTTAAGTAACACAAGGATAGAAATGCAAGTAATATTGATGAAGTCCTATGTACAAATATGCTTGCCAGCACATACATCCACGATGTTAATGGTAATCGATTTTGATGAAGTTAATATTCTTAACCAATCAAGATTTGATTAAATCAAATACTTAAATGATCTACTACTAGTTTATGAAGATTAGACCAAGATCATACCAACAATGAATTCTGAAGTCCTCAACAATAATTTTCATATTGTATCCATTTATTAGTCTTCGTGGTCAATGAAAAAAAATAACAAAATGATTCAGAATTTATCTTTAACAATTATCATCTACGTCTAATATATATATATATATATATATATATATATATATATATATATATATATATATATATATATATATATATATATATATATATATATATATATATGGGAAAATGGCACTTTTTCCCCCTGTGTTGTTTATGTAACCACTTTATCCCCCTCAATTGTTTTTGAAGTGGCTATTTTCCCCCCTCTCCGTTAAATAAGTGTTAGGGCTGTTAAATATGAGGGTAAAAATGACATTTCACTTCTTATTATTATTATTATTATTATTATTATTATTATTATTACTATTATTATTATTATTAAAATATAATAAACTATGTTAACATTTCTTTAAATTAATACTCCGTATAATTTAACTTTTTTTATTTTTAATTTATTAAAAATATTATTAAACACAAAAAAAAAAATTAATTTAACAATTTAAAAAATTAACAAAGTAACTAAAAAAGAGTTAAATTAATTAATAAATTATAAATAAGATAAGTAAGATGAGACAGGGAAAATAAGCACTATCATAAAAAAACAAAATATGATTTAAGCACATAATAATAATAATAATAATAATAATAATAATAATAATAATAATAATAATAATAATAATAATAATAATAATAATAATAATATATACCTCTCCCACTTTTTAAAAAATTAACTTCATATGCCCCGCCCTTTTCTTTTTTCACGTTTCATAACTACTTCATTAATGACTTTCATTCAAAACCTAATCCTCTATATATGTGTGAAAGAGAGATCAAATATTACTAAATGAAATTTTTAATTTGATTTAATCTAAAAAATATGTATGATTTTTTCTTTATAGATTCTCACGTAACCAGAGCACCATTCTGATTATTTAATCATTAGTATAGTTTATTAACTATGTTTGATATTTATCACGGGATTTGATGAGTATCAAAAATAAAATAATCAACAATCATTACGAAAAATATCGAGAGCTTGGGGGATGGGGTTGGGTGGAAGCACACGTGTATGGAGGCGATGCCTCCATGCGTCCCCTTCAGATTAAAAGTTTAATCTTTCAAGAACCCCGAGGAAAAAGATCAACGGGCGCAATCGCCCAACGGCTACTTCAAAAATAACGGAATCCAACGGCTCTTATCGAATGGGCGGTTGCCGCCCAACAGTATCCCAAGTCTTACGTCCGAAATCGAATGGTCCGAGAAAGGACTCCAGTTTTAGGGGCAACCGACCATTACTGTTGTCGGCGATTTAGGATGAAAATATTTACCGATTTATTCATTAAAAATACGCTAATCACTCTCATACCCCTTTAATTAACGCAATTTACCAATTAATTACTCCGGATTTATTAAAAATTGGATTAAAATAAAATAGCCGTTAGCGGCCTTCTTCTATTTAAAGATTCCTCATTCTACTCAAATCGATCCAGAAAGTTAATATCCCATCTGGGTTTTCTTCATCTTCTTCTCCTTCTCCCTCCTCTTCTTCTCTCCATTTACAGAAAGATAATTGTTTTATTCTTGTAAATCTATCTCTTTATCCTTGTTTATATTTCTGAAAATAGATTTTTTTTATATATATAAATTTACAGCTTAGCTTGTTGATTGAGATCACTGCCTTTGTTAGATTATGGAAGCTGTTATGTACCGTTCATCTTCAGATCAACAAATCTCACCTAACAAAAACTACTTTAGAAGCTCGATGAAGATGATGAATCGAGCATCTTTGATTCCTAGGTTTTCTGAGGATTTTGTTCCTGCGGCATATTTGCAGGCGGGGCTTTTACAGGCTCCTGTTCATCCTCCTCCTCCTCCATTTCTGTCTCAATCTTTTCCTGTTTTTTCAGTTCACCAGCAACAGCCGCCTCTTCTTCCTCTCCCCATCTCCAATGGCGGATATAGCATGAATTTCAGTCAAAGTAGGACACTTTCTTGCCCTCCCAACTATGGGAGACCCAATAATAACAGCAAGAACAGAAGCAGAGATCCCTCTCTGACGCCCAAGAAATCCAAGCAGAAGATCTCCAAGTCTCCCAAGAAAGAAGACTTTGAGAAGAAGATGAAATCTGCAAAAGAAGTTGTTGCCCCTTTGGGTCCAGACCCAGAACATCTTCCTAAACATGTTGTTGTCCCCAAGGTCTTATCTTTTTCATCGACAGAGAAAGATGATGATGAGGGGGACAAGTTTTCAGGATCTGTAGTGTTCACACTTTCACCTCCGCCTAGCAGCCTGCCTTTGCCCACTTTTTCATTGAGGCCGAAGCTGAGCTGCAAAGCAGAGGCCGCCGGAATAGACACCGGAGCGACTGACAATCTCTGCAGACTTCTTCGTCTCCGGTAATTAATAAGCACAAATAGATGAATGATAGATGTGAAGAAGAAGCTAAGGAAGGAATTAATAAGTATTGGTGTTATTATGTTAAGGGTGATATTATTATAACTTTTTAATTTCGTGTTGGATAATTTTAGTTTAGTAAAAGTCACCACCAGTGCTTGTTTTTCTAACTGGGGGGTGGACAGACAGACAGACATGTTTAAGGTTTACTCTCTTGTAATTTTATTACCGTGTTTTCGGTTATCTTGAAAATGGAATTCAAATTCTCATATCTTGGACTGCAATTGTTTCCCATTTTAATCCTTCTTCTTAAACATTAATTCACTGAATTGGACAAACAAAAGCATGCCTATGATGAAATTTACAGAGAGAGTGACCATGAGGGTATGTAGGGTGGCACGGCTTGGAAAATACTATGGAGGTGTTTAGTAAATAGATGTTAAGTGATTGAGTTAGTGGGTAAATTAGCTTGTTAGCTGATTACATACAAAATGACTTTGAGTAACTTTTTTAATTTTAGTATTTTGAATTAATAAGTAGTTCGAAAAGGTTAATTAATCAAACACTCATTTTGATTATTTAACCAAATCAAACAACTAATAATGGCCAAATAAGCCAAAATTGATTGATAGACTAACTATTTTACCAAACATGACCTATATGTACTTCTCTTATCTACTCCAAACTTTTACTCCCACGCTTAAAATTTTAATGTAAATACTATAAGCTCACATGAAGAAAATAACCTATCAACGCTATCGGAGAGTAATATTTGAGAATACATGTAGTAGAACTTTACAAATTAAGGAGTGACTCGTTTGATGGCTAAGTCAAGGGTGATTGAATTAAGGAGATTGTTAATGGTGCACAACTTAGTTAGGTGGCAGTCATGAACGACTAAGTCTTGACCGGTGGTTTTGCTCATGACTTGTGACTAAGTCGTTTGGGTTTGCTAAGTTGGACTAAATTATGCTTGTGATGGTAATTTGGTTGGGAAGTTTTTGTGGCCAAACTAAGGCAAGGCTAACCAAAACCTTGACCAAACGGTTTCTAGCATGTGGTGTGTATGTTGGGCAATTTTCCACAAGAAAATATCATGTAATTCTCATTGTTTTGCATTCAATTTTTATTTTCACTTGATGTAAACACTTTTCGGGAGACCTACGTAATGAAAATATAACTTATTACATTAGGGGGTTAAAAGAAATAGAATTTTGAAATAAAAAATGATATTGAAAAATGATATATGTACTTCTATGAAGTAAAACTCCTTTCATATGTCATAATTTGATTTATAGAAGCGAAAGAAAAATAATACAAATTGTGACCCACCAATTTTTCTAGATGAATCAAAATATGGCACTTAAGTTGCGAGTAAGAAATGGAGTAAAAATAGAATATGGCACTTAAGTTGCGAGTAAGAAATGGAGTAAAAATAGAATATGGCACTTAAGTTGCGAGTAAGAAATAGAGTAAAAATAGAATATGGCACTTAAGTTGCGAGTAAGAAATGGAGTAAAAATAGAATATGGCACTTAAGTTGCGAGTAAGAAATGGATAAAAAATAAAAGTACGTGTATCATTACTCTTTTGGAGATATACATAGTAGAACTCTTTTTGACATATGGCTAAAGTTGTGGGCATTTAAGGTGGCTCCTAGGAGTTTTGGCTGTGGTTGATCATGCTCAGCTTTTGTCAATAATTCCCGTATATTGGTACATACCATATACCATTCTGTACAATAATATTAACTGGAAAAGAAGAAACCAAAGTTTCAGATGAAATTCACTATTGTTAAAAGAGTACACATCTTTTACACATCATAATGACCAGTTCATGAGAACATCTCTTGTTCTTCCCCTGGCATTCTGGCAATCACCCCATACTCGATAAAATGTAAAGAATGCACCCTCTTTCTATCTGTGGGATGGTTAAATGCTACCACCTCTAAACATGAATTCGAGCTGCCACAGGCAATGGGCTACAAAATCTGAAGCAGCATGCCAGCATCAACACCTAACATCAGTATACAGCATGCATATTCAAAAAGGAATGGTGTAGGGTAAAGCAAAGATGTCTGCATCCTGCAAATACTGAGCGCGGGGCCATAATGCAGCGCTACCACACAACATAGCGGTGCTGGCTATAGCCTTCTTTGCATTAGTATCATCATGCTTTCTTCTCTTGAATAACCAATCTTGATCATCATCACCAAGATCATTTAAACTTGAGGGAACCCAGTTCTCTATCAAATTTCTAAACTGCAATTCATCTTTATGCATAGGCTTCTCCACTCTTTTAGGCCGCGAAGCAGCAGACACATGCGTCTCAACAGCATTTTGAGCTTGCTGTGAAGTACTACAAATGTTATCTGCACCAGCACTTGAAGCAGTTTCACATTTGCGCTGGACTGGCAAATCCAACCTGCCAGAAGTTGAACAAATCTGTTGATTTTGAGCTGAAGAATCATAGTCCATTTGCTTCTGTGAGGGCAAACGAATCCTGATAACATTCCCTGAACACAAAGATAAAGCTATAATCAGCACAAGAGTGAAGCATTAGATTTATGAAACTAAACATTTTTCTGCTTTGTGTCACAAAAACACACCATGAGAGCGGGTGACATTTGGTGGTGACAAATGCCTTTTCCTTTTGTTGCTGTTCTGAGTGCTATCAGATGAGGTGTTGGGATTTTGTGAACATACAGCTTGTCCATATTCCACAGTGAGATTGCTCCTTTCTAATTGTTCAGACTCGGAAGGTCTCTTTTTATCTATGCATCCATCTTTAAACTCAGAATTGTCCTTTTTGTGGGACTTGTATCTCTGTGCAGAATCACCCTTTTTGTGGGACTTGTCTCTCTGAGCAGAATCGCCCTTTTTGTGGGACTTGTCTCTTTGAGCAGAATCACTTAAGTTCTGCTGTTCCTTCTCTTTCCTTTCTTTCTTCCTCTCTTTCTTCTCCCTCTTCTCCCTCTTCTCCCTCTTCTTCTCTTCCTTCCTTTCAGCTTTGGCTTTCTCCCTCTCCTTTTGGAGCTTTAGGGCACCAGGACAAGAGATTTAGAATTGAGAGCAAGAGGATCAAATCCAGCATAACAAGGAGACACATAAAGATCCTCAAATAACATTATTGTGTTGTCTAATAGGAGGAGCTAAAAGCTCCACATTACTTGATACAATCACAAGTCACATAGTCACAGCTAGGGTCAAAAACACATTTTCATTTTCAAGTTTCCACCTCAATCCTAGCCCATTAACCCAAGCAAATCAGAAAGGCAAATGGAAACAAAGAGTATTATGAGGCTGGAGAAAAAGATGCATTCATCTGCAATAATGATTATATACCAAAATGCAAATTCCAAGAAAAGGAAACAAAGTACGCTACCCAATTTTTTTTAAAAAATGAAACACTGGTCAGCTCTATTGGAGCCAATGGAGCTTTCACAAACAAATCAGTTAGGAATACAGCTCATGAACTTCATGAAAGCTTCTATTCTAGCCTAGATCAATGTGTTAGAATTAATTAACAATTATAACCTTAGACAAAATTGCATCCCAAACCAACAGACTCACTGTATGATGACTTTAAAATAATGATTACATTGTATTAACCATGGATCCAGGGAGAAAGATGATATGGCATTAATAGTCATATATTCAAATGCACTTAATACTTCACTTTCACAAAAACAGTTCCCAAGGAAATTGGTAACCAGTGTGAAAAAAATCAGGCAACCTTTCTCTTCCAATTGGATTTCTTATTGTGCATGGAAGATTAAGTGCATAATCAAATAAATTATTAGTGCCCTATACTGCATGGTATAGATGATAAGAAAACCACCAAAAATAGCTTAAAGTCCCAAATGCTGGAGCTAACCTAAAATGTAAAACCAAAAAAAAATGTAATCTACCTACATTAGAAACTACATTTTCCCCAATACATTAACAAGAAATCGGAACCCTGTTATGTTCATCAATCCCCATCCAGCTCCATAATCATAGCCTAAATCCTATCAAACAAGCCCTCCTCAGTACACCACCAATCACAATTCACCCAGGAAGAGAGAGTACACTAAAATCACTTGGAACCCTACTATGTTTACCACTCCACATCCAAGCTCTATAGTCATAGCCTAAAGCCTATCAAACAAGTACTCCTCAATGCACCACCACCTATCACAATTCGTACAGAAGAGAGGGCATACTAAAATGTAGACACAAGAACTTCATCATGGCAAGATTAATCACCAAACAACATCAATTGGGAAGGAGTCATATCAAAATCAGCCCGTCATATTTGAAGTTCCAAACAGCTCAGTTCAGAAAATTTTACTGTAACAGGTTCTAAGTAATCAAAGACACGAATCTCCTTGGAAGCACATCAGGTAGAAATCAGTCCAGAGACAATGAAATACTTAAGTTTATACGGATCTTTCTAGGTCCAGTGCCATACATTCCAGTACACAAGACATCCACGACAAAACATTCTAACAAAACCCTAAATCTTATCATCTTTCTGCTCAGCACATACATGGTCACATGGATTTAAAACCACAGTACATAAACCTTATTCGTACAGTATATGTCAAGTACAACCCCCCAAACCCCCAATCCTATTAACATGAATAAATCAGCCGATTCAAAGAGCGTAAATACATATAAATCTAGGTGCTCTTTCAACAAACCTTAATCGATTCGATCAAGGCTGCTTCTTCATTGCTCCTTCTAACCGTATAGCCGGGTGGAGGGTAAGGAAAACACCTTGACATCCTCAGATCAGATCGAATCGAAAACTTAACGCGTTTAAAAAAACAAAAAAAAAAAAAAAAAGTTCTAAAAAATATCGCAAAATCGATTTCGCAAAAAGGGTTTCGAGATTCAGAAAAAGTTTAGAAAAATCTTTGAAGGAACCGCGGGAGATTTTTCAAGCAAAATCTTTCGATGAAACCACAGGCTAGGGTTTCGGCGTCGCGAGAGAGAAGAGTCTCAGAATCGTATGCAAAATTGCTAAAGGAAGGGTGAGAGGGTATATATAGAAGGAACGTGAGGCGGTCTTGCCGCGTAGGGTGAACTGTGTATTACCCATAATGCCCCTAAAACTTTATTATAATTTCTAATCCTTGTCCCTGGTCGTCCTTTTCCTACTACGCTTCTAAGTTGACTAGTCTATGGCCAATTGCCATAAATTCATTAGTCATAATCATGGGTGAATTAACAATTTAATCCTCATATTTTCCGATTCCGTTCAATTGAATCCCAATATTATTCTTTTGTGCGATTTATCCAAAATATCTTTTATTTCTTCATAACTCCACATCTTTAAAGTTTCAATTTCAATACATTTCTTCACCTTTTAAATATTCGCGATATGTTCTAATTACTCCGTATAAGCTAAGTGTGTTTATTCAGTAAATTTAATTAATTTTAAATCGAATTGATTAAAACTAAATTAATAAAATTGTTGTATTTAATTCAGTTAATTGAACAAATTAATTTGAAATTTATATAAAGTGTAATGCGTTCAAATATATTATAATAAAACAGTTTTTAAATGATCGATATGCAAATAACATATTTATTTATGATAAATTTGGTAATTATTGTTCGAGTTTATATGGTGATTAATTATATGTTCTAATAGTTTTTTTTTTTTTTTGAAGCATAAAACAGAATAAATTAGATCAACCTTTCAATACAAGGAGGCGGGACAGCTTGGTAAATATATAAATGATACATATAATAGTAAAATATATTTGGTTTAATATAATATTTAATTAGGTAAATCATATTGGTAAATAATATATTCAAGGTAGGATTAGTACTTAATTTTTGTAAATAAATAATGACTTTAAACAAAATAAAATGGATACTGATATAATATTTGGGTCGGTACAATATAAAAATGTAAGAGTAAATAAAATGTTTATTTCTTTTTTGCACTAAGCAATAGGGATCTGACCAAATGGTTTACTCCATTCATAGAGTGAGAATGGAACTCCTCAACTCATGCTTAAGGAGTGAAGTGCTAAACCACCACACCAACCATGTTGGTTAATAAAGTGTTTATTACTTATTTGAGAAATGTACTGTTTTTACATTTTGATTTAATTTTTTTTTTCAAAAGTATTATATATTTATTCCCTTTTAATTAACAAACACTTCACAATATTACCTATTAGGGAAAATAATCAAAATATAATACTTTTACATCAAAATATAAAAATATTATATTTTTCATCAAAAGTGTTACATATTTCATTATAAGTAACAAAAACTTTATTCCTGATTAGTATTACATTTCAGCATATTCTATAAATAAAATTTAAAAAAAAAAATGGGTGATGAGGGAACTATCAAATACTCTTATTAATATTACTTTGGAGAAAATTTCAATTTTGGTCATTTGACTATAGGGGCTTTGTTAATTTCAGCACTTGACTTTCAAAAGTATCAATTTAGTACCTTGACTATACAATTTTTATCAATTTTAGTCATTCTGGTCAAATTGCCGGCCAAATTTCGCTGGAAAATTTTAATAGTTAAAAGATGAATTCGCCGGAAAAGATGAATTCACCGGAAAAAATGCCCTCATTATTTTAACTGTTAAAATTTTCCGGCGAAATTTGACCGGCAATTTGACCAGAGTGACCAAAATTGATAAAAATTGCATAGTCAAGGTACTAAATTGACACTTTTAAAAGTCAGATGCTGAAATTAACAAAACCCCTATAGTCATATGACCAAAATTGAAATTTTCTCTATTACTTTGTGAAACTGTAATGGAATAAATATAATTACTCCAAGCTGGCCAATCATGTGCCTACAGGGAAGATTTCTGAATTTTATTAGTCTCAAGATTTCAAGTAGTCTCCTTCTGTATCCTGATCTGGTAAGTTGAAGAAAAAGGTTCACAAATATTGGTGGGTGGATGGGTCATCATTTGATGGACATATATACTTATTACCCATTAAATATTATAGTAATTCAGAAGCTTTAGAATCATTTCACTTCATTACTACTCAATGTAAGATTGCTTAGACATATGGTAATGTGGTATGCCCTGTGGGCTATGGCTTTTTCTGGAAAAAGAATGTTTTGTGGTTTGATGGGTTTCTCACTTGCTTGATATTGATAATGAGAATGCTGTTTTCTCGTTGATCTGATTACAACTTCAGTGATAATACTGTGAAGTTTACATCTTTTGGGCTATACCCTGGCCCAATGTTGGCCTGCTAAGAGTGATCCAACAAGCATGATAAGGCCAGGCAAAGTTAAGGAATATAATCAGTCGTTATATCCTGGACCGCGGTGCATAATCGATTACGCACCGCGCATCAAAACGGTGCCGTTTCTTTAAGTAAAGAAACGGTGCGCTGTTAGTGTTAATGGAGTGACACTACAGTTTATCAAAACCGACACTGCCTCACGTATTATTTTTATATTATCAAATGAAACTACAGTTATATCAAAATGATACTATAGTTGTGGTGAAATGAAGCTGCAGTATATATAAAATGATACTGAATAACATTTCACATATTTGAGTGTATATTGCACAATGAAGTTATAATTATATCGAAATGATCATGTAGTTGTATTTTAATGAAACTATAGTGTATATAAAATAAAATTAAATAACATTTTCATATATTTGAGTGTATAAATATTGAATGAAACTGTAGCTATATCGAAATGAAACTGTAGTTGTGTTGAACTGAAACTGCAGTGTATACAAAATGAAACTGAAGAGCAGAGTTCTTTTTTGCGGAACGACGTGAAACAGATTCCCTTTCTTTTCAGTAAATAAAACGACGTCGTTTTGATGCGCGGTGCATAATCGATTATGCACCGCGGTGCACGATATAATTTGCCGAATATAATAGCTCGAAACTATAGGTTGGGTGACTAGCCCGGACAATTTGACTAATCGGTCATGTTTGCAATCATTATTTCGCGGATCATGGTCCACACATTTGTGTGAACCATAAATAAAAAGTACATTATTTGTATACATAAAGTATATTATTTGAAATCACATGATTTTTTTAATATTATAAAATAATGTACATTCAATACGAAAATAATATATTTTTAGTATATTAAAAATGTATATTGCATTCATGGTCCACACAATTATTTGCTGTCATGTTGGCTCTTGACTGCAGTAGTTCACTACTCATTGAAAAGCAGTGAAAAGGTATGACAGTCACCAAAAGTCATCGAGATGTTTGGTAAATAATTATTAGTTGATTGTGTTAGTGAGTTTGACTAGTTGATAGTATTAGCTAATTGTATAAAAATGTTTGATAAATTGACTATTAGTCGAGAGTCAATTACATGCAAAATGACTTTTTTTCAAAAAGCTTATCGAAAAAGCTACTATGAACAACTTTTTTAATTTTAGCGTTTTGAAGCAACAAATTGTTACAAAAAGCTAACTAATCAAACACTTATATTGGTTATTTAATCAAGCCAAACAACTAATAATGATTAAATAAGCCAAAATTAACTGATAAACTATGTTACTAAACACCGCCATCATTTTTATGTGTCATGTTATATATGTGTATCAGTGTATGCTTTCCGTAGTATACATAAAAGTCGGCTTTTGGTACTTTGGCCCTGTTTGGTAAAATGGCTGTTAGCTGATAGCTGTTTGCTGTTAGCTGATTGTGTTAATTAGAGGGTATAAATAGTTGATAACATTAGCTAATTGTAGAAAAGTGTTTGGTAAATTAGTTGTTAGCTGATAGCTGTTTAGTATAAAAAGCTAATTGAAAAAGTTGCTTGGGGTAGCTTTTTTGAATTTTAGTCTTTTGGAGTTGCAAAAAGCTAATTAACCAAACATTTATATTGATATTTTAACTAAATCAAACAATTAATAGTGGTCAAATAAGCTAAAATTGGCCTATAGGCCAATTTTTTACCAAATAGGGCCTTTATAAAGGACCTTTCTCTCTTCAAATAAAAAATTGAGGACCTTTCTCACGTTTTCAACCACTTTTCTCTCTTCTTCAGCAATAGCAGAGAAGTCAGGGAAAAATACTATCTTTGGCCATTTCTGTACAAAATCTCTTCCGTTTAATGAAAGAAAAGGGCTTTGATTGGTGCTTTGTTACATATTTCTCCATTTATCTCTTGCTTAGTCCATTTAGGCAGTCTAAACCTTGATTACCAACTCCTTAAATTAAGCAAAAATGGTATGTTGGACCGGGTGAATAAATAAACCTCAAAAGCATCTTATTGTAAAGTGTAAACTAAAATTAATGTATGGAGTAATAGATTTCAGAAGCAGGTGAAACATAGAAGAATAGCAAGCCTCCAGTTTAACAACAGATGGTGTGACTAACAGATTCAATTAAGTTTGTAAGTATATAATCCTGAGTATATTATATACGCAAATTATAAACAGTTATTTTTTAAAAAATATATACTTTATATATCGCTCTAAGAATTTTGAAATAATCAATATATTTTAAAGAAATTGTGTGTGACACAGACCTTGGTTTATGTGCATCGTTCTTTTGTGGAAACTAAATTTTTTCCAATGATTTGATCAATGTGTGACTTGTAAACACGATTAAGCATGCATGTGTTATGGTTGTTCACCAAACAAGTTTTGGATGATTATGCTAATTAATTACATGCATGCAATTGTTTATCAAATATGGGGTAGCCCACCAACCTGGGAGAAGTGCCAAAATGCTACTGCTTATCATTCAAGTCCTGCCAACTTCATTGCTATTCTTCTGTTATTTGGGGCAAAACATCTAGTGCATGCAAGAGACAGACAGATAACTTCATTAACCTGTCATGTCATTATTGGTTTAATACGCTCGAACCCATGACCTCTCATTTAAAAAAATCACTTCATACTACTAGACCATAAAGTCATTATTGACACTAAATTAATTAATTATCTAGATTGATCTCTTAAACCTCTACTATAAATATTGCTAGACTATAATCAAACTAAAAAGAGCTACCTGTAACCTTAGCGGATATCCAAGAATGTTGT